GACACATGTAGTTGTTTATGACCTTAATAACCTTACATGTGTATTAGTTTAATGTAAACTAAACAGTTTTTCCTTTATTGAAAAATAGGTGGTCCATTTTTGGACCACCGGTCCTCAAAGGGTTAAAAGGCCCTTCTTTTTCAGCACAATACAAAAAAAGTCGAAATTTCTGCAAATTTCTCCACGAGGGAATAAAAGTTTTTGTATGATTTGATAGCTAATAGAAGGGGCTTTACACAAAAAATGTGTAAGATGAAATGTACCCCATGAATATATTGTTAAAGTGTAAGTATAAGTTAAAAGTGGGCTGATCCTGACACTCCAGACGTATTAGTTTTCATCCCTTTCATACTTTTCATCGCTTTCATACTTTTCATCGCTTTCATACTTTTCAACTTTTCATGCGTTTCAATCTTTACTGCTTTTCATACTTTTGGTGGCTTTCATACTCTTCAACTGTCTTTCACACTTTTCATTGCATGAAAGGGAATGAAAAGTATGATAAGTATGAAAGCGATGGGAAGTACGAAAGGTAGAAGACTGGGAGAGCGATGAAAAGTATGAAAGCGATGAAACGGATGAAAACTATGAAAGCAGTGAAAAGTATGAAAAGTTTGAAAGCGATGAAACGGATGAAAACTATGAAAGAGATGAAAAGTATGGAAAGTAGAATAGTTTGAAAAGTATGAAAGCAATGAAACGTATGAAAACTATGAAAAGTAGAATAGTTTGAAAGGTATGAAAGGGATGAAAAGTATGAAGGCGATGAGAAGTACGAAAGGTAGAAAACTGGAAGAGCGATGAAAAGTATCGAAAGCAGAAAAGTATGAAAGCGATGAAACGTATCAGAGCGATGAAAAGGATGTAAAGTTGACTAGTATGAAAAGTGGGAAGGCTGTGAAATGTATTAAAAGTATGAAAAGCGGAATAGTATGAAAAGTAGAAAAAAGAGTAGAAAAGTAGAAGGAAAACTAGGAAAAAGACTGCTGGCGCATCTTCGTAGAGAAAAGTACTTTACACATTTTTTGTGTATTCTAACAGCCCTCGAGATGCCACACCTGAACCAAGAAAAACTAAGAGTTCACTTGGTTCCCATTCTGGAGAGAACGCTTTGCACTATATACCCATGGAAAAAAACTCAATATGTGGAGATCTGAACTAGGCTTATAAAGACCTCGGAGAAAACCGATCTTCTGAATATTTTCGAAAACTCGCTATTAAGGTATTAAAAAGTCTCAAAATGCAAGGTTTAGTTACTCGATCTGAACAAAATGATTGAAAACTTAGACGTGAATGAAATTCTGAAAAACTATCAAATGAAACATATCGTCAATTTGTCAAAAAGAACAATGAATAATTAATTATTGTAAAACTTGTAGTTGTTCAATTGATTAAAATTAATTTTATATAATAAAATTAAAAATATTTAATTGATTACAAATATTTATTAGATGATGATATTTTGATGAAAAGACAAACATGTGAGCGCAACGATTGAGAACAGAAATCATTACATGTCCCCTTTTCGTTATTTGATCTAATTCAAATTAAAATGAAATACTTTTCTCATTAATACTCTTGAGTCAAAATCTAACATATAGTGAGCTAATAGAAAAGATCTATTCGAGTTGTTATTCGTTTGTCAAAATCAACTTTTTCTATATAAAACCTGACGATAATTGAACCATGTTAAACGATAATAGAACAACATCACAGACGGTGTCTATTACAAACAGTTTCTTCACTCTTAGATTTCTCGATAGAAAATAAAATAACGTTATAAAAGAGATTATCATATAGTTAAAAAAGATAAAATTTGGTATGATCAAAAAAATCGACAAACTAATGTCCAGAATGACTTTATTTTATAGTGGTAGTTTAATACAACCATAGAAAAACATCATTTTTTTGCATATTTCAACTTTTTTAATACTATTTATGTATCGTTCAACGCACGATAACCTAACTTTAAGCTAAAGTGCAATATTATACGTAAAAAGATAAAATGTTTTTTGATTACTTTGTAACGAGATTGGAACGGTTTTTAATCTCAGATTTACGTCGCAAAAGAAAAAATATCAGCCTCATAAATGAGCATAAGCATCTTTATCCGTGTTCAGTGAATACATTGGTGTCGTCTCATTAATCATTAAATATTCAAAACACTTCGTCTCATTACACGTCCGCCGAATATATGGATAAATATTATGCAACTGACTACAATTAACGACTACAAAGTTTTGTGTTGTCCTTTCGTATCGATGAGAATAACGTTGTTGTAAACATGTCTGACCAAAAGACGGTGCTACAGCGTATAAGTTATGTCGTTTTTGTAATGATCGATAATATCCGAAAATACTTCGTGGTGACCATAACCATTGTGACGCGATTGGCCTCAAAACTAAGGGGAAAATATATTTTTTATCAACTGGAGCCTCAAACCAAATATGAGTAGAATTTTCTTGGAATCCAAAAAGATCGATGAACGGCCAATTCCACTTCATGCTACCAGCTTTCTTTGATTCACGAAAATAAAACTTATCTAAACTATTGTTATTAGGTGAAAATATTGTCCAACTGCGTTGATCGTCTGCGATTGAATCTCTAATTTTTAAGAGCTGCAAACGATCATATTCAGATACTAATATATCGAGATCATCATCATACGGTAGTATATCTAAAGCAGCACAAAGAAGACAATTTCGTAGGTTCTGCTTTAATGAAAAAAGCAAAAGAACATTAAAAGGTACTAAATTCGTGACAATAGGTCTTTATGTTCGAGTTATGATCATTTCACTAGGGTTTTGACCTTTGGTGTAGTACTCCAGAAGAATCGAATGAACCAATGTCAACCTGTGTTAGAAATAATAAATTTTCACAAAGCTTGACTTTTACAAAATTTCTTGTAATATATGGTCATTTCTTGAAAGTGTATTAAGTACTGAAGAAAGTATCAGTTTTGATCGAAGGTTTTCGAGCATTCTAATGGCCATTGGATCTATTTATTACCAAAACGTTAGGTCGAAATTCGCTCATTCGCTAATCATACGGTTCCTAAATGCAGAAGGATGTTAGGTTCTAGTTCCAGAGTGTTCGGCACCATACCATTACACAGTGGGCATTCAGGCGGAAATTTGAGCAAAAATCGACAAGTGAGCTTTTTTGAATTCGAACAGTAGTAAATGTAGTCCTTGAAAAGCGCTATCGAATGGTATATAATGATCGACTAGTAATGA